ACTCCGAATACTTGCAACTGAGCATCGCGCAGACAGACTTTGGGTGCTAAGATCCAATGTCAAAAGGGAAACAACCCAGATCGTACGCTAAGGTCCTAAAGCAATCACTTAGTGGGAAAGGAAGTGATCGAGCAATTACAACCAGGAGGTGGGCTTGGAAGCATCCATCCTGCCCCCAAATGCAATTTAAGTAAGAAAAACGGACTACTTTCTTGACTTTAATTAACAGCAAAATAACAACAATTATGTTTGAATTTCAATGTTGTTATTTGTTTCTTTGATGGMTGGAAGTTCTTCAAAGGTATGAAAAGCTGGAGGACTTTGTACCATCCATTCAAGTGTAGTTGAATTTGGCTCAACTGCCCAAGGCGCTTGCAGAGCGCACACTTCACTGGTTAAAGTGAGATAAACAAGAATATTGATTTGTTGGTGAGGCACAAAATTCTAATGTTGAGTGTGAGGGTCTTCTTTCTTCTGCCTTCGATATCAAAGCAATGTTTTGTAACCTCCCCCACCCCTCTATTCTCAAAGCTCCAAGTTCAAGCTAGACATACTTTCACTAGTGTTGGAGTCACATTTTGGGCCAAAAAGTAGGCATTCCCAGGGGCTACTTCGAGCCCACGTATTACTTGCCTCCTTTCCATCTTCGCCTGGTTCTCCTTTCTCTCCTCACTTGGGGTTCACAAGGGTTTGGTTCATGGGATCCATCTTATTGACAACCTGTTTTGTCTTCATCAAGTGTACTGTTGGTGATGATACCTTTAAACTGAAGGCGAAGAGCATCATGAAGTTGCTCAAGGATGTTACAAGAGCAATCTCTGCTTGGAATGCACAAGTAGCGCTGCTGAGTGGGAATTCTTGGGGTGCATTGTCAAGAATTTTGGTGGGCCGATTGGTTTGAGGAGTGTTGCCACCCATAATAATCAGGGTTGTGTGAAGAAATCATGCCTCTGAGGGGCCTTTGATAACATAGTCCACGCGGAACCACGTACGRCCGAGTTTTGTCCGTTGTGGCAATGGGAATATTTATTTTATTTTATTATATCGGATATACTTTCGCCAAGGTAGAATTTTTGCCTCATAGTGCACTGAAGTGCTACTGGCCCTGGCGGCGCTCTACTGTGAGGTGAAAAACGAATTTTTGGAATTTTTTTGTAGGAAATAGTCTGTAGCTGTCTCTTATACACATCTAGATGTGTATAAGAGACAGTGGTGAGGATGCTGACGTACGACTCTATGAACGTACGAGTGGCAGGACGTATCAATACGGCGCACGATGATAGATGCTGGCGCGCATCTCTAATGAAAATCTAAGTGGGGGAGGGGGAAGTAGAGAAGATGGTGCGGCCGCGTGTGTGTATGACATGGTGAGTGGAATATAAGTGCGCTTGCTACGGCGGGATAACATGATGATGACATAACGAAAAAGAAAAGCGAAAGGAGAAGGGTTGAGCACGAAGATTGGGGTYGGATCACGAACGAGRCGGTAATCTAAGTGAGGGGGCGACCGGGGAGAAAAAGCGTGGGTACAACTACACGTGGATAATGACGCGGTGGTTGTGAACATGATTTACGACGGGATGGTCTGTCTCTTATACACATCTAGATGTGTATAAGAGACAGACTCTATGAACGTACGAGTGGCAGGACGTATCAATACGGCGCACGATGATAGCTGTCTCTTATACACATCTAGATGTGTATAAGAGACAGATGATAGATGCTGGCGCGCATCTCTAATGAAAATCTAAGTGGGGGAGGGGGAAGTAGAGAAGATGGTGCGGCCGCGTGTGTGTATGACATGGTGAGTGGAATATAAGTSCGCTTGCTACGGCGGRATAACATGATGATGACATAACGAAAAAGAAAAGCGAAAGGAGAAGGGTTGAGCACGAAGATTGGGGTYGGATCACGAACGAGRCGGTAATCTAAGTGAGGGGGCGACCGGGGAGAAAAAGCGTGGGTACAACTACACGTGGATAATGACGCGGTGGTTGTGAACATGATTTACGACGGGATGGTGCAGCAGGTGGCATGGCGAAAAAGTGAGGGTATGGGAAGTGGACTGATCGGAAGGTGAAATCGTAGGGGATGGTAAGCAGAACCATAAAGACTCAGGATCCAACACCATAATAAGAGACTACCTTCATGATTCGACCAAGTTCCAGAAACTTTAGAAATCAGAAGAAACATAACAAAACAAAAAGCTAAAAAAACAGATGGTTAAAATGAGAAAGTAAAGTGAACAAAAAAAAGATAGATTATTTTTTTTGTAGGCTAATGCAAAAAAAATGTTAAGAATGAAAAAATAATGACCTATTTCAACATACAGCGCAATTCGGACATCTCCGCCGAATTGTTGGACACGAAGTGGTGGCCAAAACTGCTTCAAAATGTATCCTATTTAGAATCTCAAAAGAATCTCGTCTTATTATACGGTCAATATCAGTATACTTTGGTTAATCACATGGATATAAAAAAAAGTACAGCACCCTATGTAACTATTGGACAAATTGCATCAGTTTTTTTTTTCTTCCTTGATATGATATGCGACCTGCTTCACAACTTTTAAGACCATATTTTCCAAAACAAAGTTGTGTCGCCGCGTGGGAGCCTTTGCTTCTTCCTTTCTGATATTTACGAAATTTTGTACGTTTTGGAGATAGCATATGTGTTTTGGTTGATTTTATGAATATGAGACCCACACCTTGACACCTAAGATTCCATAAGGAGTAGATGCTTGTGCCTGAGCATAATCCAAGTGGTAACACGATGTATAGAGTCTGACACCTGCGCGGTGCTGGAAGGTGAAAAGGAGAAGTGACATAAGCTTTGAATAGAAGCCCCAGTAAACGGCGGCAATAACTCTAACTGTCAACTTTAGGGCAATTATAAAATCTGGCTATATGCTGGAACACTCGCAATTCTTACATACACTGCCGAGAAACGGAAAATATTTTGTTGGTTTACAGATCACTGAAGATATGGTTGGTCATAAATTTGGAGAATTTGCTTCTACACGTAAAACTTCGAAAACAAAAACGAAACAAAAAAAGACAAACAAATAATGGCACAAAAAGTCAATCCAATCTCAGTCAGACTCAAAAAACACAAAAATGATTCGGGAGCGAAGCTGTATGAAAAACAGTTGCTGGAAAGGAAAACCACTCAAACAATTAACTTTTAGTTTCAAAAAGGCGTCTGTTGGACGAAATTCCACAGGTCGTATCACCCTTTTCCATAGAGGCTTGCAGCGAAGAATTGACTTTCAACGTAACACTCCGTTGACGGGTAAGGTAGAAAGAATCAAATATGATCCAAATCGTTCCTCTTGGATTGCCCTAGTACGCTGGTGAATTAATTTCGCCAGATTACGGAATACATACGTATATGACCTTTCCCGGAGAAGGATTGAGTTTGTGAGTGAAGTGAGACCCGTGCCATTGTATTCAAGTCTATATACAATACAAATACAATACATACTCCAATTGGCATCTATCTATAGATAGTAAGCCATCGTAGTGCGATCGATTTTGTTTGTATGTAGTGTCGTATTATTATAGTGAACCCGGGCAAGAGTCGTGGCCTTCGGCCTACGCAGAGGGGCGTATGAAACAAACTCAATTTGTAGTAGAAGATCAAGTCCGGTCTGCCTTGAAAAAGGTAGCAAGTAGCTAAAAGCAAAACCAAATTTAGCGAATAACATGAACAAGCGAAATTCCTCGACAAGGGGTGTTTTCTTCAGCATCAAAGACAAAATCTGACTATATGCTGGAACCTCCGACCGAGTGACAGTAACATGAACCTGGCCAGGACCAGCATTGAAAGGTCGCTGACCTTGATCTCCACTCTTCGGATTCTGCATCACAGAATCAATCCTGCTAACCATTGTAATTGTAAATGATCAGTGTTGATTGATATCATAGTACAGAATGTGAATTGACTCTRTTTTTTGTTCGGACTCTTCACGTATAGTCTCTGAGGATCAAGACGGTGCATGGTGAGGATGCTGACGTACGACTCTATGAAAGTACGAGTGGCAGGACGTATCAATACGGCGCACGATGATAGATGCTGGCGTGCATTTCTAATGGAAATCTAAGTGGGGGAGGGGGAAGTAGAGAAGATGGTGCGGCCGCGTGTGTGTATGACATGGTGAGTGGAATATAAGTCCGCTTGCTACGGCGGRATAACATGATGATGACATAACGAAAAAGAAAAGCGAAAGGAGAAGGGTTGAGCACGAAGATTGGGGTYGGATCACGAACGAGRCGGTAATCTAAGTGAGGGGGCGACCGGGGAGAAAAAGCGTGGGTACAACTACACGTGGATAATGACGCGGTGGTTGTGAACATGATTTACGACGGGATGGTGCAGCAGGTGGCATGGCGGGAAAATGAGGGTATGGGAAGTGGACTGATCGGAAGGTGAAATCGTAGGGGATGGTAAGCATCGTAACAGGTTCATAGAGTATATCGGGGGGTCTGATAAAGGTTAGCAGATAGGAAAATAAACTGAGAGGGAGGACGAGAATCGAGAAATTGAAGGGAGGTAAAGGAGTACGAGGTAGGAAGAGCGATCATTCGGCGTACGTTGCTCTAAATAAACTAGTAAGGATTATAGCGGGTATACGGTTTGAGTATCGACACGTATGCGGGCTCAAGGGCGGGATAGAGGTAGAGGGCGGTGGTCGAATTGCGGCAGGTATTGGATGGAGAACGCTCCACCTCCACCCCCGCCCGGCGTGATGCCTGGAACGACATACCAACCTCCACCCCCGCCCGATGTGATGCACGGATCGACGTATCAACCCCCGAACGCACCTTTCCAAGTGCCTAACGGGTTCTACCAGCAGCCATATCAAGCAGCGCCGTACGGTTATCCAATTCAACAGGGGTACACGGCGACGCATCCTCCACTCCAGTGGAATGGACAAGGGGGTGCTTCGACTAGTAATACTGGGCAGTATAACCATGGATACGGGCGAGGAAACGGTGGAAGCTATCAACCTCGAGCATTCTTTACGAAAGAGCAAGCCAATTTTATTGACAAATTGAAGTTGAAAGAGGCTGTGGAAGAAGCGAGGAAGAGAGATCGGGAGGAGATCTCCAGACTTAGGGCTTTGCAAGAAGAAAAGGAGAAGAAGAGTGGGAAAGGGAGGGGGAGGGGAAGGAAAAAGGGAGAAAGCAGGGTGAACGTGAGAAGGGAAAGACAAGGTGTCTATGGAGGGAAAAGAAGAGAGTATGAAGAAATGGGTGGCCGAAAACTTTGGGAACTCGCTGCGGATTTTGATGGCAAAATTGGAGGATGTGGAAAAGAAATCGAAATTGAAAGAGGGAGAGTTAGAAGAATTAAAGATGTTGAGGATGGAGAAAGGATTGAGGGAGCTACGGGAAAGCTCCAGTAGTGTGAAACGAAAGAGGGAGCGTGCCTCCCCGGCCAGAGTTGGAAACAACAAAACCAGATCTAGAATTAGTGAACTGAGGAGGAGGAGCAGGGGTAAGAAGCCGTTGGAGATCCCCTCTGACGGCAGTGGGAAGGAGAGGGACGCAGTGGTGCAAGATCTGGAGGCTAATATGGAGGACTCAGTTAGCGGCCTGAAGGAAGTCGCTCAGCTAAAGGACCTACTTTTGGAAATTCTGGCTGCGAAAGGTAAAAAAAACAGTGGGAGCGGCAAGGGAACCAAGCAAGATGAGGACAAGGAGAGCGAGAAGGCAGATTCTCACGAGGAGGAACGCACGGAAAGGGAGGGTGAGGGTGAGCCGAATGGGAAGACAGGCGACTGTACACTGGGGTTATATTTCAAGGACAGGGTGATTTACTACGACGCCATGCACTACACAAAAGTGCAAGAACTATGTAAGCAAAGAGGAGTTGCCTACAAGAGGAAGGAAGCGGGAGTGTGGGAGCTAGCGCGCTTGGATTTTGAAGTACTCATGAAGACTGAGAATAAGGAGGAGAAAAAGGAAGCAGAGGTCAATGAGAGTGAAGAAGAAACACATGTATCGGACAACAGCTCCAACTCCAATTCTGACAGGAAGTCGGAAGAGGAAGACGACATTGCGGGAAACTAGACAATGCGAGCAAAAGATCAATTCTGAGGCTCTACAAGAAATTGGTCAAGATTCATGATGACTTTGGCTCGCTGATTGATGAAGACATCCAATGCATTAAGAAATTCCTTGTCTTATGTCTGTGCCTAAGGGGTGATATCAAATGGGGAAAAACATACTGCCGATATTGGCTGGAAATAACAGCGGACAAGAGAAACAAGATATTTGATGCTGACTCTTGTGTGTATTTACTGATTTCTCCATTTTTTAAACTAACGTACGTTGAAAAAACTAAGAGGGCACTCCAAACCAGATGGAAAGAACACATGCATGTGACGAGAACAACACCTAAACAAAAATTGCATAAATGGCTGCGGAAGGCTGAACAAGCTAACTATATTGCTGTACCAAAAAGAACGCTTTGTCGAGTATGGAAGCCTTTATCATTGGCGCCAACAACCCGGGCTTGAATGTAAAGAAATCGAAGAAGCCTACTAAGAGGAAGCCAAGAAAGAAGACAAAGGATAAAGATGTGCAATATGATCATAAAAACGTTATTTTGTTTGAATGCGAGCAAATCGGAGTAGAAGGGGAACCTAACGTACGTTGGAAAAACTAAGAGGGCACTCCAAACCAGATGGAAAGAACACATGCATGTGACGAGAACAACACCTAAACAAAAATTGCATAAATGGCTGCAGAAGGCTGAACAAGCTAACTATATTGCTGTACCAATATGGTTTGGAAGCAAGAACGCTTTGTCGAGTATGGAAGCCTTTATCATTGGCGCCAACAACCCGGGCTCACACACCTTGCATAATCGAAGTAGAGTGTGAGGACATTGACTGTCTCCATGTTGCGATTCGATATGCACAACTATCAGGCAATTGAAAGGAAGGAGAGAAGATTGAGGGTGAAGAATAATGCAAAAATAAAGAAGAAACTGAGGGAGATGAGTGAGGCAAGAAAAACGTAATTAGGGTTTAACAGCTTGCACATAAACACATTAGCAAAGGAACGCAATAGAAGAACCCAAATAAACACAAGTGTGAAAAAACAATTAAGAGGAAGCCAAGAAAGAAGACGAAGGATAAAGATGTGCAATATGATCATAAAAACGTCATTTTGTTTGAATGCGAGCAAATCGGAGTAGAAGGGGAACCTAGTTTACTAAAGATCCTCAAGAAAGCAGGAGGTATGAAAAATCTGAGTATTGTAAATAATAAAGGGCAGCAACGGCTGAAAGCGTGGGCGTTGGTAAAACTACTCTTCGGATCGAGTGTTATTGAGATAGATGGTAAGAAAATTTTAATGAAGGATAAGAAAATGTTCATTCAACAGGGAGGGAAGTGGAGCATTGTAAAGCTTGTAAAAACAAGAAACCGATCAGAAATTGCAAAAACAAAAGTAATTAACCTGCTCCGTACTCCATGGAAAAGAAAAACGTTGTACAAAAAGAGCTTAGACGAGTTTGTAAAAACAAGAAACCGATCAAAAATTGCAAAAACAAAAGTAATTAACCTCCTCCGTGCTCCATGGAAAAGGAAAACGTTGTACAAAAAGAGCTTAGACGAGCTCGTGGAACTTAATGCCGGGGCTAAATAACTAAACCCAGTAAGAGGAAGGCAAATCATTAGGGGACTGTTGACTAGGGTCACTAAGCAGCGTTTTGGTATTAACCCAAGACACAGGATCACGATAAAAATACCATATGGAGAGACAGTTAGCAAAGGGAAAATACACAGCAAATTCAAGAGATGGCTGCAAGATAAGATTGAGAACCTGTCTAACGTGTTGGTTGGTAGGATGAGAACTGTCTGGCAGAAACGAAAGTCGGTCAGGGAGATCCTACATAACCACCATCGCTTTGCAAGAGGAAGTGGATGGTCCTGCACTTGCAAAGGTTTTGACTTGCCACGTTGTGACGGGCACGTCCAAGTTAGACTTGGGGAAGTCGAGGGAATAAGGGAGTGGGTTTGTAATGCGCAGAACATCCCAGTGTCGGGGAATATACTCACAGCAAAAGAGGTAAACTTCGCATGTAATGAGGCCTTGGAACCTCTAAAGAAGATGCGGTGTGTGAATGAAAGTTGTGCCTTTCAGATTAACTGGAGAGAGTTTGGCACAAACTCTGAAAAGTCGGGTGGATTTGACGCCGAGTACGTGTTGGGACTGAAGCAAGCCTTCACAGGACTTGTATTCTCACCACTCGATAGGAACCCAGGAGCTACAGTAATGGAATGCCCAATGCTATATGAAAGGGCAATGGAAAGAACCTACAATAACAATGATGGGTACAAGAGAATCAATGAGGAAGGGGAGGTTGTGTTGAGAAGAATGAAGAAGGAATATCAGAATAAAACACTCACGAGAATGGCGAAATGGGACCAGAAAGGAAAGTTGCAGCAGGCCTATATACTGTCCAAGGATAAAAACTTGGACAAGAAAGACATTTCAACATTGATGGTGCGAAAAGCCTGAAAGTAAAGATTGAGAAATGCAACAAGCAAGTCAATGATTCACTGGGAGAAAATGGCCGTATAACGGCGAGAACGTATGATGTGAAAGAAATGTTCACTAAGTTACCGCACGACGAAATTATCAAAGCAGTAAACTGGATTGTGCAGCATTTTCGGGACCAACGTCACAATTGGATACGACTGAAGACCAAAGGGAAGAAAGCTACCTTTGGAAAATCACATAATGAATCTGGATGGATATCCGTACTAATGAGTGGGTTGGTAGTCCTTACGGAACTTCAGCTTAACAACACTTTCTTCTACTCGATGGCACAGCTAATGCAGCAGACAATTGGAATCCCAATGGGAGGGAGGGCTAGTCCACCCACGGCCAACATATTGTGTATGTATGCAGAACACCAATTTGTCACATCCCTTGGTTGTGATGCACGATGCATTGACGGGGGAAGGTTTGTTGATGACCTGCTGCTGATTGGGTGGTATGATACAAGGCAGCACAGAGGAAGAGAAGAAATAGATAAGGTATTGGGCAGGATTGAACAGTGCTACCACTCCGACCTGATACTGGAAAGAACAGATGGTGGTAAAGGGGTGCTTGAATATTTGGAGACGAATGATCGTGACAGATAATCCTGCGTGGATATATACGCTGCACAAATTCAAGAATCTGGAGGCAATCTGGAGAGGAGAGAAGGGACGATTCATAACCTTGAGGGATTTTGACTCATATGCGCCGAGGGTGCAGAAATTTGCAGCTGTTTATAATACCGTTTGCAGGTTGATTGAGAACTGTTCGAAGCCGCAGTGAAGAAGGCGGCAAGAAGAGAGAACAATGTTTTTTGGCAGGAAATGTGCCTGCACATGTTGAATTGGGACGAAGACAGGTAGAGAAAAAATGGGAAGGGAGGGTGGGAAGGGACAGGTGGGGAGGCATTAGCAGAGAACCCAGGAAAAGTGGCTGGATACAGATGAAGAAATCATGCCTCTGAGGGGCCTTTGATAACATAGTCCATGCGGGACCACGTACGGCCGAGTTTTGTCCGTTGTGGCAATGGGAATATTTATTTTATTTTATTATATCGGATATACTTTCGCCAAGGTAGAATTTTTGCCTCATAGTGCACTGAAGTGCTACCAGCCCTCGCGGCGCTCTATTGTGAGGTGAAAAAAGAATTTTTGGAATTTTTTTGTAGGAAATAGTCTGTAGTGGCTAAGGCTGTTTGGCGGCGCTTGCAAGCACGGTGAACGGTAAATTTTGAGAATCGTGGTAGAACAGGTGGTATATAGGTTCACATTCAGGAGTCTTTCTCCTCTCGAGCTGAGCAGCAGGACAGAAGGTTCGAGCGCCGGTGAGTTGTTCCGGCGGTGAAGGTGTACTTTTTGCTGTGATAGTAAAGTCCGGAGTCACCTTTGTATTGCTAATATTGTGTGACGAGTGATGGGGTCCACTTCCATAATTTGCACCTCCAAACAGCAGAAGTCGTCTGTGATTGGGTATTTTTGCACCATGCAAAGAGATTCATGAATATGACAGGAGGAGAAGGGGCTTTCCTGTTCTCTCTGAAAGTTGAGCTGACGTTACACGGACTTCCGGACTACTTTCTTGATGATCCTTCGCAGAACTTTCCACACATGTTTGGGGGCCTGTGGAATGACTGGGTGCATTGCCTCATGGGTTGGAGGGACTACAGCACCAGATGGTCTGCAAGATAGCAGTGTAAGCGTTCACTCGTTTTGTTTTATCTTGTTTTCTACTTTCTTTTTCTTCTTTTCTCTTCTTGCTTTCTGGCATGGTGGGTGCATCCGACATTGTGTCAGAAACACCGACATAGTAGGCTCCGCAAGATATACGGCGGTACTTTCAGATTGGCGTGGAAGGGGATGGTCAGGGCCTCTGGTGAGTGCGGAGGTCTCCTCTTGAAGCTGTCAATGAGTTCTGAGTGCGGCTCGGGTACTTGACAGTCTTTTGGGGCTTGTTTCAGGGGTCGGAGGGCCCTGTGGTGGTACTGGCTCCCAGTTCGGTAATTTTGGTTTTTCATTTTGATAGTCTGTGTCCGGGACCTGTTCCGGGAATCATCAGAAAGGGTAGGTTGTGTTTGGTTCCCAGTTCGGTAGTTTCGGTAGTCTCCCTCTCTCTCTCTCGACATGTGGACAGCAGTGTTGCATGCCCCAAACTGGACGTGTGTTCGAGGCTTTTGGGGCTTGCCCTGAAACGGAAGTGCCTTTCCACATGTGCTGCCAGCCCATCGTCTAGACTCGGTAGGCCATTTCGAATTTTCAGCAGCCAATTGGCCCCGTCCTCCAAACCTAAGCCACACCGTGTCGCTAAAGATTCAGATATGGTCGCCATTCGCAAGAGAAATCTACAACGACAGGGTCGATGGACTGGCGGTTAAATCACCAGTACTTGGCCCATTTATCGGCCACGAGCCCCTCACCACGACTTTCAGACGCCGTAAATGCAACAAAGGCCATTGATGAGATTTATCGATGTCCTTCGGCTCCGAAATCACGGCGAATTAACATGAAGGGCCCACAGTCGATGTAGGGACCAAGTACTGGTCGTTTGAGCATCACTTTTGTAGTGGCTGTTCTGTGAAAGGTGTCAACCAATTTACAGACAAATGTGGTCCAAAGTTCACGATGGTGAGGGACGTGTAGGCAGTCCCTATCTATGTGATCGTGTGTCTTTTCGAAAGCGATGAAGAAGATACTTCCACCCTCCTTTGATAGACGTTTTCATTATTTAGCTTACCCAAGATATTCCGACAAAACATGTTTGCGTATCAGACGGTGGACCTGGTTTCCAGCAGGTGATGCTCCCCAGAAATAGATCGGAGCAATCAATAATTGGGTGTTTTCCACTAATGAAGGGTGCTTGGAAGGGTGCT